GACCATATATAGTGTCCGATTTAGTTCAATAAATATACAATATACCTATTTATTGAACAAAAAAAATTATAAATTCGAACATGTTTTTCTTAAAATTTATTACTGTATAATTTAAAATAAATACAATTTATTTAAAGTCTATGTTATTTTGTATGAGTATCTTGGACCTAACATAATTTATTATTTACAATTTTAAAATTAACTTCAATTATGTGATGTAAGTAAATAATTTATGATACGACACACAATTTAATTTATAATTCAGTTGTGATTGCGCAGTCGTGCAGTAAGRTGTTATGTGAAACTCTAAACTTCTCAATTGTCTTATCTCTTATAAATTAATTTTCCTTACTTCAAATTTAATCACTAAAATGTCGTTAAGTAATACTGAAATTTGTTACAAATGTGATCTTAGATTTGGCGATCTTGACTATCCTATCAAATGTGATGGCTGTAAATTATCTACTCATAATAAGTGTATATAGTGTAATATATAGTAATAATATAATATATGTAATATATTATATAGTGTAATCGTAATTTGAAATTCTTTTGTGAAACCTGCAACAATGGTTTACGTGATATCCCTGAATTGAAGTTATTAATTAACTGATTGATAACTGAAGTCAATGATCTTAAAATTAAAAAAAAACATTATTAATACATCAAATAATTCTGAAGAGTTCTTAATTAACGAAATCGTCAATACCCAAACGCCTCCCGTCTATTGTTTACTTTTCCCAAACGGCTCCCGTCAAAAAATGTTTTACGAACAGGTCAATACCCAAACGGCTCCCGTCGAAAAAGGTTTTAAGAACAGGCCAATTCCAAAAACGGCTCCCGACGAAAAAAGGGGTAGAACACGATTCCGTACGGAATACGGTAAAAATAAAGGGATGTAGATTCCATTTGGGTCAAAGTTGGTGSCGGAAGATTCAGTCAGTTGGACTTGCATYAGAATTTAGAAACAAAGATTCTGAAACAGGAAAATCTCTAAAATATTTATTTGGCCTTCCTTACCTACCACCGTCAGAAGTATTGAACTGTTTTACAGATGATTTAATGGCTATCAAACCGATAGACGATAAAGTGGACAAAGTGTTCGACTATATTTTTGAATATTATATGATGTCAGATAGTCGTTTTCCTCCTGAAAATTTGGGCTGAATGTTCATCTTCCCTTGCTTTGACCACAAATGGCTGTGAATCGTTCCACAGCAGATTCAACAACGAATTCAATTCTGCTCATCCTAATCAAGGTTATTGACATAGTAACCGAAATACAATCCGAAACACAAATTAAAGCTCAAGTGATGTACAGTATATTTTGCTAGGTTAGGTTAGGTAGGTAGGTAGGTTAGGTTAGGGTATGCTGCTAATATTTGGAAAAAATATTTTATCACACCAATAGTGATCAATTGATCAATTTTCCCTAGAGCTCTCTCATTATGTAATGTTATAGCCGATCAGATAGATTTCTTCTTTATGTCACGTGATTTATTCAAACAAAATGTATACTTAGGTTTAAATCTAGCAATAAATTAAATACCATGGTTATTATTATTAAGATTAAGACAAATATTAAAGTTGAAATGTGTTACCTGTTAACCAAATCGTATATTGTTAAATGTTATGGATTACTTCATKTCGTGTATTATCAGTTAATTATTATTACTATTTTGTTTTATTGTATTCATACTCATATTTTACTTTTCCTAATTATTGTTAACTCTTATATTGTAACATTTGTAACTTAGTGTCATATTTAAACTTTATWTACTTTCTGTACTATTAATACCAAAGGGTACCTACTCGTTTATAATGTATAAATAAATAAATAAAATTACAACCTATAAGGAAATTAATATATTATAATTGTGTATAAATATTAAATATATTATCGTTGTAATACAATGACATTATGATCAATCAAACATAACACACCCAACAATAATTGTTGCATTCTAGTCAGTTTGTACAACATGAGGTAATAGAAAACTATATAAATACTTGATATTAAAATTGACTTAATAGAAGATCAAACCATTAGGTAAGTTTATATGTACTTTTGAGTTTTGTTTACACTTAATATGTTCGTTATTATCCATTGAATCGGCAAAAATTATCTGGATCTTCGTATGMGACGTAAAATGTCCCTCTAACCCTAAAACATAAAAATATACTACAATTTATTATTTTAAATTTACATATAGGAAATAATTTAATATTAATTGTTATTTGAGCTTACCGACTAATCACAATTTTTTTAATAAAATCAAGCAGTGCTAGCTCGAAGRAGGTATATTCCTCGAAGAGGAATAAATCATGTAAATCAAAAAATTGTTAATGATTGGCCAGTGGCCTAAGGTTGGAAAAGGGTAGTTTGAAAATTATTTTAAGATTTTTTAACCACTWACAACCTATGAATTCACTATTTGATGAGCAATAAAAAAATGTTTAGGATCGGGATGTAAAAATATATAATTAAATATAAGTTGAGGAAAAAAATGTCAAGCCACCACTGAAAACAACTAACAAGTACCTACTWATAAACGTATTTTCTAAATTAACAATGACCTTAATAAACATTAAATGTCTATGATATTACTGCTGTATGACGTAGGTAGGTACCAACTAAAATATTAAACTATCACTTTTGAGGTCTATCTATTTCAAAGTCATTAACAACTATTTAAGCGTCTGGAAAAAAAATAGAAAATTATGCACAGTAATTATTAATTAATAATATTCGATTTACATACAGGAATAAAATACGTAAAAAAGAGAACACRAAAATGTCAGAAGTGAAAAAGAAATCTCATATTTGTACATTCGTTTATGGTAAATTATTGTCTTCGTGTATGATTATTTCATAAACAATAAAAAAACATGAAGATATTAGACAATGATATACATCCGTAATTTTGAATTTACTACCTACGTTCACATATTATAAATTATTATAATACATCGCCTGGCAAATATAATATATTATAAGAACCTACAGTTAGTAGTAGTTATTGAGCGATTCCCAAGCACGCTCAATCCGATATTTTTAAACAATGCATTAGTTATAAAAATTAGATATCTTTCTTAGGTATATAATTATGGAGTGCAAAACGTCGATACAAACTTATTTTTTTGCTCTTAAGAACTGCGCATTTTCGCTGTAAATTGTTAAAAGCATTACAGAATTTACTAGAAAATTACAATGTGTATAAATCGAAATTTACACGTGTAATTCTGTCAGAGTTATTAAGAGAATGCGCGCTACATCCKCATGTGTTGTCTTCGTCTTACAAACGCGTAACATAGCAAATTTTACGCTCTGCAGATCACGTTTAATTCCTTTAGTTTAAAATTTAGAATGAATTGACCTCTTATAAAAATTAAAGGTAACATTATTTTCGAGGGCTTCTCATATGTTTTTTATTATATTTTAATTTTAAAGTGAGTTATATGTATTTTAAAATTGYAAATTGTTTGTATATCTTAAAATACTCATAACTCGCTTTAAAATTAAAATATAATAAAAAGTCTACGAGATRCCCTCGTATGTTACCTGTTATTTTTGTAAGAGGTCAATTTACTCTAAATTTTTAACTAACGGAGCTAAACGTGTTCTGCTGAGCATAAAATTTGACATGTTACGCACTTGTAAGACGGAGACAACATAATATGCGGGTGTAGCGTCCTCTTAATTAGTAATATATTGTAAAAGCTGTATGCCTGCATAGCGTTTAAAAATAAAAATAAAGTAATATATAGGTACCTAGTTATTAGCCGTCATAATAACGGTTTTAACCTGGTTGRCAGACGATTTAATTGGTTTAATTTATTTAAAACAAATTATACAGTAGATACCCTAATTTTAAAATAACCAAGAAAGCACGTAATGAAAACGAATATGACGCTAATGGTGATTGAAAATTAAAGATGAAAAAAATACAAAATAGTCATTAAGCCCATATTGTAGAGCATGCGAGATTTTTTCAAATATTTCAATCTATTCGAGTACGTACCTAGTATGTTTATTAAAATTTTGAATTTTGAATATGAAATTATTTATTATATTTAAATTTAATCGTCATTAGCTTACAGAAAGAGAACATTTTTTAAAGTTGGTAATAATAACTAATAACTAATAGGGATCCCCCAATTGATAAGTGATAAATTAACCAATAATATAATACCATTTATATTATTTATATCTTATAATAATTTATACCCATTAACACAGTAATTCGTGTAGATTTGTCATTCATTATCGATATTTTCAGTGCAATCAATAATCATATATAACCAACCACCTAATATCTACCTTATTTAAAAGAGAAATAATATTTTTCAAAATTGTATTAAAATATTTCAATTAAAAACTATCTAGTCAAATATTTAAAATTTAGAACCCTATATAGATATGTATTATAGTCGTAATCAATGTGATATATCATTATTTATATTAAATAAATATTATATTATATGATTTTTCTTGCATCATTTAAATTACAATTTTATCCACAACCAATAATTATCACAACCGTATATAAATTTGAAACCCTCCTAATAATAATTACCATTCTGGCGTTTGTAGGCCCATGGGTATGACATCGATCCGGTTTGAAAATGACGGAAGCACCACCGAGTCGCAGGTTTCCGTGCATTGTACACCCAAAAACATGTTGTGCCTTCTTGAAAGTGACAATGCATAATAACAAACGCTCTTGAAATGACTGCACCGCGATTGTTCTGAACATATATTTATCAAAAAAAGTCTCGTAATTGATGTACGGTATTTGTTCAAGCCCGTAAAATACCATATCGTAATGCATTACGACAATTCATAAATAATATTATTCAATTATATATACCGTGTGTCCTAAAAAACGGGGGCCACTTTACCACTCATTACCATGAAAATATTTTTCAATTCTSTTTGCGGGACATTAAACTAGACTAATGGATCATAAATTTCTATGACTTACAATTTTTTTAACTCATGTATCTTGCGCATGCGCAATAAAACTTACATTTTTTTT